GATTACTCGGACGACGACGACATGTCCTGGAAGGNCCCTCGACGACGACGACGAAGACGAAGACGACGACTATCTCGACGAAGATTACTCGGACGACGACGACATGTCCTGGAAGGTCCGCAGGGCGTCCGCCAAGGTGCTCAATGCCGCGCTTACAAGCCGCCCGGAGCTGCTGGCGCACAACGTCGGCGCCGTCGCTCCCATCCTCGTCTCGCGCTTCTCCGAGCGCGAAGAGAGCGTCCGCCTCGAGATCCTCGACACCTTCCTCGCATTGCTCAAGCAGATGCAGCTCTACGGCGGCGGTCCACAGGCGACCGAAGTCATTGGCGCAGCCACCACCTCCTCTGCCAACCAGGCCGCTGCCATCGCCGCCGCCGGCGTGCTCAAGCGCAAACGCCACGAGATGGATGCAGACGACCTCGAGGGCTCGCCGCGCAGCCAGCTCGTCGCGCTCGTCCCCGCCATCGCAAAGGCGCTCAACCGCGAAATCGTGTCCAAGTCCATCCCAACGCGCCACAAGAGCTTCGTCGTCCTGCGTGAGCTCGTCGTCGTTCTTCACGGCGGCCTCGACGCGCAAATCGGCTCGATCCTCGCCCAGACCGAAAAGTCGCTCAAGGGCGCCGAGTCGGCTCCCTCCGGCGGCTCCAACCTCAAAGCCGACATCCTCGGCTTCTTCCGCGTGCTCTTCCTCACCCACCAGCCCAAGAGCTTCGAGGACCAGCTGCCCCAGCTCGTGCCCGTCCTCGCTGCCTCCATCGAGGACAAGCTGCACCGCAGCTGCATCGAGGCCTTCCTCACGTGCTCCCAGCTCGTCTCGGTGCTGCGTCCGCTCGGCGCCACCGCCACCGCGCCTGGCGCCACCGCCGCACGCCCCGGTCAGTACAAGCCGTACCTGCTGCACATCTACGCCGCCACCGTCGCGCGGCTCAACCGGCTCGATTCGGACCAGGAGATCAAGGAGCGCGGCATCGCCTGTCTGGGCGTGCTCCTCGCCCACGGCGGTGACAATCTCGAGGAGAAGCACGCCGAGTGCTTCGACCTGCTCTCCAACCGCCTCACCAGCGAAGTGACGCGCTTTGTCACGGTCAAGGTCATCGCACAGATCGCCAGCTCGCCCGTATGCAAGGGCGCCGCATTCGACGCGTTCCTGCGCTCCGCCATCGCCGAGGTCGCGACGCTCCTGCGCAAGTCCGACCGCCAGCTGCGACTCGCCGCGTTCGACTGTCTCGCCGCGGCGCTCTCGCGGCCATCGAACGAGCTCAGCACCGAATCCTCCAACGCGATCCTCGCCGAGGTGCAGCCGCTGATCAACAGCGACATGGACATGAACCTGCTGCCGCACGTGCTGCGCAGCATCAACCTCATCCTGCTCAGCGACCCGGCGACGCGCGAGTCGGTGCGCGCGTCGGTGCTGCCGCAGATCTACACGGTGCTGCGCCTGCCCATCGCGCAGGGACCCGCGATGGATGCGCTGCTCGAGTTCTTCCGCCTTCTGGTTGGCGCACAGCCCGAGTCCGCTACCGAGATTGTCGACGAGCTGCTGGCTGCGCTCGACGCGGCCAAGGGCAGCGTGAGCGGCACGCACATCTACTCGACCGTCTCGAGGTGCATCGGCGCATCGTGCACCGTCTCGGCGCCCGCAAGCTCGATCGTGGCCGACAAGGCGACCACGACGCTCCAGGGCGGCAGCGCCAAGGACAGCGAGGTGTACTTTGCGCTGCTGCTGCTCGGCGAGCTTGGACGGTTCAACGACTTTTCGACGCGCGCCGGCCTGCTCGAGCGCGTGCTCGCCTTCTACGCCGCCGACTCGGAGGAGGTCAAGATGGCGGCGGCGTTTGCGGTGGGCAACATGGCGGCGGGTGCGCTGGGCGCATTCCTGCCCGTGATTGTCGGCCACATCCGTGGGCAGGCCGATGACAAGGCGTCGGCGCACAGGTTCCTGTCGCTGCATGCGCTCAAGGAGCTCATCACACACGGCTCGGCTGAGCAGCTGAGCGTCGTGGCGGAGGAGGTGTGGCCCGTGCTATTCGACGCCTCCGAGACCAAGGAGGAGGGTGCGCGCTCGATCGGCGCAGAGTGTCTGGCGAGGCTGGCGCTGAGCGAGCCGACCAAGTTTCTGCCGCTGCTGCAGGAGAGGCTGCGTTCGCCCTCGGTCTCGGTGCGCGCGACAGTGCTGGCGGCGGTGCGCTTCACGCTGTCGACCGAGTCGTCTGCGGCGTACGACGAGCTGCTGGCGCCCTGTTTGGTGGACTTTCTCATGCTGCTTGCGGACCCGGAGCTCGAGGTGCGGCGCAATGCGACGTTTGCGCTCAACTCGGCGGCGCACAACAAGCCGTACCTGATCCGCGACCATTTGGCGACGGTGGTGCCGTTGCTGTACGCCGAGACGCACGTGCGCACCGAGCTGCTGCGCAAGGTCGCCATGGGTCCCTTCCAGATTGTCACGGACGACGGATTGGATCTGCGCAAGAATGCGTACGAGACCATGTACCAGCTGCTCGACTCGCTCTGGTCGCGTCTCGACATGGCCGCCTACATCGACCGCGTCGTGGCGGGGCTGGCGGATTCCGACGACGGCATCAAGACGCTCTGCTACCTCATGGTGATCAAGCTCGTCGAGCTCGGCTCGCCCGTGGTGCGCTCGGTGCTCGCGGGCCGACTCGAGGAGATCGCCGATCCGGTCGGCGCAACGCTCCGCAGCAAGCTCAAGGAAACCGCCACCAAGCAGGAGATCGAAAAGCAGGGCGAGCTTCAGCGTTTCATCTATCGCATGCTCGTCGTGGTCACGCGCGCCATGGACGCGGTCGTGGGGCCTGTGGCGACGCCCAAGTTCAGCGCACTTGTCCAGGAGGCCAGGTCAGCACCGGCGCAGCATGGAAACACCACCAGTGCGCCCGGTGCGCTGTGGAGGGAGACGGAAGCTGCACTCGCCACGGCATCTGCGCCATGAGGCTCGAAACTCTGATCCCATTTTGATCCATTTCATCGACTGTGTCTCTCTGTGTGTATGGCTAGGTGGTTGTGATGGGGACGGAGCCTAGGGAGGGGAAGGGATCTTTGGCGCTTAGGACGAGGATGCCTCGTTCGTGGGCGATGTATCCCTTGATATAACCCTTGTAGATGAGGGTGGCGAGGATCCATTCGAGGTCTTGGTAGGCGTACGGCAGGCCTATGAGGTCCGAGGTTGTGGCGGTATGGATGGTCTTGATCGCCACGCGCGTTGGTTTGTCCGGTAGAGCGAGGCAGATGTGTTTGAGCAAGGTGCGCAGCGTAGCCTCGCGTGCGCGTTCGATGGCGATAAACGTCCCGCGCTTGACGAGCCAGGCTTCGATGTCCGGTCGTGCGAGCGCAGCATCAAACGCTTTTACATCGCCGCTCCTCAGCGCATCTGCAAACGGCCTATACGCCTGAAGCTTGTCCCCCACCGAACCCTTAAACAATGCTTCGCACGGCAGGCGTCCCTGCAGCAGCTTGACGGGGATCAGGTAGGTGAGGATGAGTGCCTGGTTGGTGGTTGCGCTGCGATGACACATGGCCAGTGCGGCAGAGAGCTCCGTCTCGGCACGCTCGTACTCCTCATTGAGAAAAGCAAGCACGCCGACGTAGTACCGAAACGTCACCTGCTGGCTCTTTGCAAAGCTCTCGAGCGGCGGCAGTGCAGCCGCATTCAAAGCCCGCAAAATGTTGCGGCACAGCGAGACCGACTTGAGCCGAAAGTACGTCTTGAACACCATGCCCACCACCTCGTACGTGCCCCACTTGCGGCTCTCGTCCATGTCCGCATTACGGTCCGCAATGCACGCCGTAAAGGCCTTGTTCAACTGCCGCGCACACTCCTCCAGCCTCTTGTTAGCTACACTCGACGTCCTCGCTACTGTCGCCTCTCCCGCCACTGCCGCAGCCACCTTCTGGCTCGCGTTCTCCGTCCTGCCCTCCTTGGCATCCAGTGCAGCCTCGTCCGCCTGCACCGCAAGCCAGCGCAGGTTGAGGCACAGGATGCGCAGCAGCGGCAACGCCCACCTTCCGGGCGTGAGCGTGGCAAAGTGGCGAAGGAACGCGGTGACGGCGGCATTGTACGCGTCGAATGCGTCGGCGAGTCGATCGGCGCGCGTCTTGCCCTCCGCATCAGGCGTGGTAGGCGGGTAGGCGGCGAGGGAGGATGCGAGGGAGAAGGCGTAGAGAGAGCCGAGGTGCTGCGCACACATCTCCTCCCAGGGCGACGCAAGGTAGCCGGTACACTTGCGCAGCGCTACCGTGATCTTGTGTGGACGTGCGTCGCCGATTTCGAGCAGCACCGATGCAGCGACCGGCCCGCCGATGGCAAACAGCTGCGCGAGCGTGTGTCCATCCGAGCCCTTGGATGCGGCTATCACCGCGTCTGCAAAGATCGCCGGCCTCATCGCAGCGAAGATTTGCGCCAGAAGCAGCGGAGATCGACCGGATGCCGTGTGCCAAGTGTGTGTTGCGGATCGAAAGATGCCGGACGAAGCAGGATGAAGGTCGAAGGAGAGAAAGAAGACTCTCGAGGTCATGCTCCTCATCTTCCTCCACTCGCGGAATTTCGGGAGCCGGAAATGAGCTCTGTCGCTCCGCGTCCCACCTCAAAGCGACACCGACCCAGCCGCACGCAGCTCCCCCTTCCCTCTCCGCTTCTCTCCACACTCGATTCAGCAGCGAGGTTGTGAGCGGCGCACGTATGCTGCGCCAGAATACAATTAGCCGGGACCATAACAGACAACGAGTACGAAAAAATAGCTACACGACCAAAAAGTGTTCTGCCCGCACTCGCACTTGCGGGCGAGCGGGGGCGTACAAAGAAACGCGAACAGAAGGACATGCGGCACGCAGTGATACATGGGGGGCTCAGGGCACGCCTGCTTCGTGCTGGCCTCCTCCCTGCGTGCGCTTTAGAGAAAAGACCCAGTGGATACCGACACCATGCTGGACGAGTACGAATCAGCCAAAGGCCACGATCCAGCTTGCAAGTTGCAGCAGGGGGGCTAGCGCAGAAGCTCTCCGAGCACGAGCGACGAGAGCGGTGTGGGCGAGTTGTGGAAGCGCGCGACGCGCACCAGCACAATCACGCGGAACACGATGCGGAAGATGGCGCGCAGGAAGACGAGCTGGTTGTACGTCCCGAGCAGCGGCGTAGTCTCTGGCTCCGACGCGGCCACGGCTGCGGCGGCAGGAGAGAGCATTGCGCTCATCAAGCCGCCGAGGCCAGAGCCAGACGACGTTGCCGCCAGCGCTGCCGCAGCGCCTGCCATGAGCAGCGACCCGTTGCCGGAGCTGCCCGTCGTGGGAGACTTGGCCGCGTCCACTGCGGCCAGTGTGGCACCAGTGTCATCACCGCCTGCCTTGCGGGCCGGGCCGCTCTGGGATGAAAGCCACCGCACGGCATCGTACGAGGTGAGCCCGCGAGGTGCCGTCGCCTTTCCGCTCGCACCATCTCCGCCACGAATCGCCTCGATGAGTTGCTTCCGTGGCGGAACGGACGCTCGTGTCGCTTCCGCAACTGCCCTCGCACCCTCTCGCATCTGCTGCTGTTGCTGTTGCTGTTGTTGCTGTTGCAGCTGGATCTGGACGAGCTTTTCGTACCTACCTCTGATGCGGCTGTCGAGCGGCTTGCCCGAGCTCGCCAGCCGCGCATTGAGTGCCTGGGTGCGCAGCCACTGTAGCAGGCGTCTTAAAAATTTGCCACCACGGCATACACGGCGCCGGTGAAGCCGGCAAACACCAGCACGCCCGACAAGATGGCCGCGACGCGGTTCAGCAGCACGTACCGCTCCAGATCGCGCCACGGCGTCGCCACGGCCGACCTGGTCGCCACGGCCACCTGGTAGCCCTGCACCTTGGGCGGTGCCATCTCGTTCGACCGCTGCATGCCGTCGAACTCCAGTTCGGACGGTAGGGCCTGCTCGGCGTGGGCCGCAAAGAGGCGGCTGCGACGCGGCTCCTCGACCTCCTCAACGGGCTCCATTGCGCGGCCGTGCCATGTCGAGCCGGGAGCCGCCTCCGGTACAGCGCGCACGGGCGACTGGAAGAAGCTCACCTGCGGGTTGGTGTCGAGCAGCGAGCCGAGGCTGCGCGTCTTGCTTTTCCGCACCTTGCTCGGCGGCGGCTGGTTGGCATTGCTACTCGTCGTCCTTGCGCTGTTGCTCGTGCCCACCGACGAAGGCGCATACGACATACCCGACGGCATGCCGCTCATCTCGAAGCCCAGTCCGCTCTGCGATGCACCCGCATCGTGCGTCCAGTCATGTTCATAGCTCGCGCCGCCCACAAACGTGGATGAGGAGCCCGGGTTGGGGCTGGAGCTTGCCGAGTGCGGATGCATGCTGGGCTCGTGCTGCCAGACGTCCACCTTGTCGCGCGCACGCGTGTCGCTCGACGGATGACGCAGCTGACCATCGGGCGTTAGGTACCAGCCTCCGATCATCCACAGCCACGGCATGCCCAGGAAGCCTGCCCAGAACATGTTCTTGCTTGGCGTCGTGCCCTCGAGCAGCGATGCAGGCGTAGCAAACAGTCCGCCTCCCTCGCCCCCGCGTCTCGAGCGCTTGTACCCAGCATGGGCCGCAGTCAGTGGCGGCTGCGTGCCCGCACCATGGTGCATCGAGAAGCTGCCCGACGCGCGCGCGCGATGCTGCGACGCCGCCCGCGTGAAGATCGACACTGCCGGCTGCTCGTCGTCGTCGTCATCGACCGCAAAACGCGCGGTGCGCGTGCGCCGGTGCAGGCGCGGCTGCTTCTCGGGGCTGATGCCAAAGTCGCCCAGTTCCGTCGTGGCGACGCGTCGGTGCTCGTGCTTGTTCCTGGCTGCCGCGTCTTGTCCTGAGTACGACCACGGGTCCGCCATCTCGCCCGTATCGGGCATCGGCGTGTGGAATGTCTCGCCCGCATGCTGAGCATGCGCGTCGTTCCATGTCGCGCCCTGTCCGGCAAGGCGGCGCATCTCGTCGCGCGCGCGATCGAGCTCCGAAACCGTCATGCCGATTCCATTCGCGGGGGCCGGGGCCGGGACTGCACGCTGGGCAGGTGCTGCGCTACCGGCGAGCAGAAGCGGGATATGGTTCGCAGGCGTATGCTCCTGGCGCTCATTCGCAGCCCAATCGTGTGGCTCGAACGCCATACGCGGAGTGTAGCCCGACGGGCTCTCTGCCACGCGTGGCGACCGCAGTGCATCGAGCCACGCACGCTCCGCTCCCACCTGCGGTGGCTCGTCGGCTGCCGTCGCGGGCACCGTGTCGGCGCGCTCCTTTCCACCAAACGTGGTCATGGACATCCTCTTGCTGGTGAGGCTTGCGGTCCTCGACAGTCCGCCCTGGCGCAGGATCGACTCGCGCTTGCGGTGTGCCTCGCCTTCAGCACCGTCATGCACGTATGGCAGACGCGTCGGCTCCTGCGCCGACACAATGTAGCCGATGCCCGAGTTGCGCTTGCGCTGACGCTCGACGGCGCTCATGCGGCGCAGCTTCTTGAGTGCATCCATGCGCTCCTTCTCTCGCTCTTCCGCCGACACATCGGCGCCATCCTGCGTTGGAGGATCACATGCCTCCATAGCCTCGGCCTCGGCCGGGGCCGGCAGCCGCGGCGAGCCAGCGAGAAGCCGCAGCGCGACGGCACGGGCATCCTTCTCCGCCACCTCGTCCTCCTCGCCCGGCGTCGGCGAGCGGAACCTCTGTCGCTGCAAATCGACATTGTACCTGCCGCTGCTCTGGCGCTTCTCCACCAGCGACAGCGGCCGGAACGAGCCCCGGGAAGCCTTGCGCTCTTCTAGCGGCGCAGGCGCCTCCTTGTGCTCGGCCTCCTCGGAGGTGTTGGCGAGCTCGAGGTCGACGCTCTGATCGCCTACTGCCGCACCGAGGTTGAACGATGTCCGGCGGGGCGAGGAGACGGCGGTCCAGAGCTTGCTGACCCACTGACCGGCCTTGCCCTGCTCGGCAGCCCTGCGCGCATCGCCGCGGTCCAGAGCCACCTCTGTCTCGAGGCCGCCATCATCCAGATCGATGTTGACGAACTTGACATCGGCGTCGCTGCCGCCACGCATGGGCGCCGCGAGCATGCTGCCGTGATCGCGGCTGCGCCGTGGGTTGAGTCGCCATCCGTTGCTTCCCTTGCCCCTTGGAGGCTGGAGGCTGCGGTTCGCATCTGCGGTATTCGGGCCCGCAGGCGTGGGGTTGTACGCAAACGCCGAGATGGACGAGGCGATGCTCTGGGAGTGGAGCAGGGCGCGGTCGGTGCCTACGTGTGCACGGTTGACGATCACCTCGGCTGCCGATGCAGGCACGGGCCCAGTAAGGAGCGAGTCGAGACCGGCGGGGGCAGCGCTACCCTTGTCGAGCCCGCTTGCAGTGCGCGGTGAGCGGCAGTCGTTGGGCAGAACGGGGCTCGGGCCGGCAAAGTTGAGTCCTAGTCCGAGCTGAGCGTGGTGCAGGTCGTGGCGGCTCGTGCGCGTCAGCACCGCCTCGCGCGACTTGGAGCGCGAGCGACCAAGCGCCTCGGCATCAGGCGACATGGTGATCGAGAGGTGTGGCGAAGCCGAGTCGTGCGGAAACCGCGTCATGCATCGCGAAGCCTGGCGCAGCAGATCGGTGGTGATGGGCGCAAAGCCCTTGGGGGCCTCCATAGCGCTGCCACCGACTTGCGCTGGGTACTCCAAGTCCAGACCCAGACCCTGCACTGTAGATTCATCACCGGAAGCGTGCGTCGCGATCTTGTGGCCATCGGACTCGAGCTGCGGTGTGGCGTAGTTGCTGTGGACGATGGTGGTGGGAGCGGGAGATGCAGCGGGCGACTTGGGGTCGAGAAGCAGCGGCGACTGTGGCCACGGACCGTTGGTGCCGCTTCGATTGCGCGTCATGGGCACGGGCCCTGCTGCGGTAGAGGCAAGCACGCCACTGTGCGACGCGGCCCTCTCCATTGCGGCTCTGTTGTCCGCAGCGAGCAACGACGGCGCGGTCTGCGTGGATCCGAATCGGAACGGCTCGTCGCGCTCGTCTGGCGTCGAGACAGTCGAGATGACGAGCGTCTGCCTTAATCTCGATGGATGGTCATCATCTGTGCTCTCGGTACTGCGCGAGTCCTGCCTCGTCCTGTCCTCGCCGAAGCCGTCCTGGGCTGGCTTGGTCGCAGCGCTCTCGGCCCTAGAGTTGAGGCCGCGGCTGGGGCGCTCGTCTGCGCGGATGGAGAGCCGCATAGCCTCGTGGCCTGCGTCGAGCATCTGCTGGTCGGCAGCAAGCTCCTGCTGCTGCAAGAGTGCCTTGCGTTGACGCTGAGTGAGGATCCACTGTTCGGTGTTGCGCGCTCCCCGACCACCGACACCAGTGTCCATATCGGTCGCTGCCGTGCCAAGCGACGGCATCTCAGCATGCGTGGCTGTTGCCATTTGCGTCTTTGTCGTCGCGCCCGGCGGTACGATCATCTCGGCAAATACTGGCGTAAAAGGTGTTAACGGCGAGTGATGCGTCGATGGGGTTGAGCGATCCGACATGCTCCACGTCATGGTTGTCGCCGAGCCAACGGTGCTGCTCAATGTCATCGGTACAGACGTGAGCGTCGAGGCTGTGTTGATCGAGCTCGTTGCGCCGATACCGAGCATGTCGTTCGACGAGACAGGCGTTGCTCCATCCAGACCTGCAGGGACGGTAGGTGGCGCTGGCGCTGTCCAGCCATTCCCACTCGGGAAGAGTGCCTCGTATCGCTCGAGAGGAGGCAGTGGTGGAGGCATGGGTAGACCTTCTGTCGTCCATGCCGCATGATGGCCGTGGATGCTGCCCGAGCTGGCAGCGCCAGTCATGCCGTCCGAAAGCGCGGTGCGGAAGGAGTCGAGGCTGCTGCGACCGGCGTGCGTAGTTCTGGACCGAATCGAGCGGGCAGGCTCGCTAAAGTCGACCGACGACACCGACGGTCTTGCCGTGCGTGCATTGCTGCGCGACTCGCCAGCGTCGATGGCGGTGTGGTACGCCGAGGTGGAAGGCAACGAGTAGTCGTGGAACGACGGGCTGAGTGCGGGCGACGGCAGCGGCTCGTTGGGCGGTGGGAAGGGCGGTGGCCCCAACGACGCGAGCGAGGCCGATGCGCGGAAGGAGCGTGTCGAGTGCGAGCGCGCCCTCCGCGCTTGCACGGGTGTAGCCTTGGCGGACGATGCTGTCGAGTGACTGGCAGTGGGTGTGCGGCTTAGTGCTTCTGAGCTCTGCCTGGTGCCAATGCGTGCTGCCGAGGTGGATGCTGCTCTACGCACGGCGGCTGAATCGGGCGTAGCTTCAAGCTGGTTCTTCTCGACCTCGAATGCATTGTCGGGAAGCCTATTGATGGCCGCGCCTCGGCGTGTTGCGCTGAGCGGCGTTATGGGCAAGGGTTCGAGCTGAGGATGCGAACCGAGCGCTGCAATCGGTGGAACGATGGCCGTGGCGGGAGTGATGGGAGAGAAGATGCTCTGACCCACCAGCTCGCCGCTAGACGGACGCAACTCCGCAGCCGGTCGGGCGTGCGCGGCCGCACGAGCATCAGATGCGGTCATGGCGAGCTGACGCTGGCGTTTGGCCTCGGAACCTGGCGTCAAGTCAAGTGGCGCTGGAGGAGCCTTCCTGCGCTTGTCCCAATCGGCATCTTGGCGCATGCTACGCATGAGCTTGCTGTTGGGCGACGGTGATGTGCGTGCGTCGGGCGACGCGGACAGCGATTTATCTGCGGTCGCCACGTTCGAGTTCTCTTGGCTTGGCCTTGGAGGCGTTGAAATGTGGCTGGCATCATGGTGTGCAGGGGCGAGGATGGATTCGGGCGTGTCGTCTGGCGAAAAGTGGCTCCTTAGGGGCAAGTTGCGGTCGTGCGACGTTTCCAATGCCGAGCCGCTGGAATCGGGCGCCTCGGACGACGACTCGCGGTCGAAGCGCGAGATGTAGTCGAAGGACAAGTCGAGATCCACATCGCCGGAGTCGGACGAGACTCGGCCTGCACTGCTGGCTGGCGCCACGACGTATGTCGAATCCAAGCTGCTGGCGCCGAGTGCCAAAGGGGCGCCGAAGGACGCGCGTGCAAGCTGCGCCGAGAAGTGGTAGACCTTTTTGGCGTGCTTGTGTGTGGCTTGGGCCGTATCTGTGGCCTCGTCGTGGGTGGTGTTGGATGGAAGCGAGAGTGGCGCTAGTGGGCTGGCATCTTTGTCGATGGCAAACGTGCTCGAGTCGGGACTGGGGCTGTTGGCGAGCCACAGACCGGCGCCTGATCCGCTGTGGCCGTGAGGTGAGCGATGCAGCGTGTTGGATCGCGCGAGGAGCTTGGAGGGCTTACGAGCCACGGCGTGCGCCTCGGCGCCTGCTGCTGAGGTAGACGCAGCTGACATGTTGCAGCGATGGCTAGGTGGGAGAGGCGAGTGTGCGATGTTGACAGTTACGAACGGATAGCTCAGGTAGCTAGACTGGCAGCAAGACTAGATCCGCAACTCAATTCGCGAGCCTCGTCATGGTGGATAGCGACAAGTGGTACGGAGGATTAGGTTCAGAAGACCAGTGGCTGAATCAGCAGCGATGTTGTGCTAGTGGGTGCTGCTTGTCGTTGTTTATGTCGACTCGACGATCCGAGGCTGCAAGATGAAGGCGGGCGGCGACACGGTAAATGGATCGTCGGCAATGTGCAGCTTATGAAGCTGAGGACGATGTGTATATGAAAAGATCGGGATGGCTGATGGGCTGGGCTTTCGAAACGTGCGCTGCAGGGTGGTATGAGGATGTCGAGGCGAAGGTCGGGTAGGGATAGTGGTAGTGGGATAGCGTGTTGGCCTCGACGACGCTGGTGGAACGACGAGACAGCGATGGACACGTGCCTGGCTGGGAGCGAGGAGCGCGATGGAGGAGCAGCACGCAGCAGGCTTGAGGGAGACAAGGCAGAGTAGAGCAACGAGGAGAGGAGCGAGGTACACTTGCGAGTTCGATCCAACTCAGGGTCGCCAGCTGCGGGGTGGCGGTAAGGTATGTCTCAGATCGAAGCCTTGCTCATGCTGACCATCTCCAAGCTGGGCAGGGCAGGGCAGGGAAGGGCGATCGAAGGGGATGCTAGACCGAGCAAGCAGGGTGGCCCAAGGAGGCATGAGTGACGATGTTTTGGGTACGCTCTCGTTGCACTCCCACTCGACGCTGCACTCCGCCAGCCGCGGCCATTCAAGCCGGCGCTACAGTAAGCCAAGTTTGCACCTCGGCCAGTCCTCCCCTGCTACACTGCTGATGTGTCACGACGAGCCACGGAGCGGGTGCGCATCGAGGTGAAGCATGCAGGAAGCAGATCACGAGTGCATGAGGCTGCAGACACTCCACCAGGGCAGTCGGGACCGTCGCGCTGTAGTAGGCATGCCAGCTCCAAGCCTCCTCCTGACGAGGACTAGGCTCGGGCTCGGACAAGTGTGGCCCAAGGTGGAAGGTGGCTCCGAGCAAGGGGGCTTTGCTGGACGGCTGTCAAAGGCGCCCAACAGAGCGGCAGCTGAAGTGCTGCTGCGCTGCTGGGCTGGGGAATTTCGACTGCAGGCGAGGCTCAGTGTATGTCGTCGTGAGGCCGACGTGCAGGAGCGAGCTGCTGGGCGGATCGTTTCAGGCACGCGTCGCCACCACAACAACACCTCCCTCCGCTCAGCCTTCTCCACCGATGCGCATTGCAACTCCGCCTCGGCGATGGAGTCTGCTTGAGCCAGCCAGCCCCGCCCCCCCTTCTTTCTCGCTGCAATTTCTCTCTCAATCACCATTCCCAAAGCTCACTATGTCGGATCGGATCGGCGGGACGGCTACCGGCAACACACCATTGCCGTGGCCCCGCGAGGTGTGAATGCGAACTGGCGAGAGGTAGCATGGCGAGCTTCATGGCCGCGAGAAGCGCGGGGGATGGCGAGGTGACATGGCCTGCGCCATGGGTCCGAGCCTCGGGCTCGTCGAAATCCAAGAGTTTTAGCGCAGTGCTGCAGAGCCGCAGGCCTGGACATTGCATGTGCAGCCTCACGCGTCTGGCAAAAAAAGCAATGTTAGAGTCATCCGCCCTCCTCGATAAGTGTCATGCTTATCTAATGCCTTCCTCTCGAGCTTCTCCACACCAGATGCACGGCCGCCTCTGTGCATGCTTTCTTCTCTTCTGTGCCTACCCTTCGATCACGGCCACGGCGGCATACGATGGCGACGGCATCTGCATCGACGCGAGCGCCTCCCAACTCCGGTGGTAGCTCCAATCCCACGGGTGCTGCCAGCAGCGGCCCCAGCGTCGGTGCTGGAGGACCTGCCTCATCAAGCGGACCCTCGAAAGTCGCACCCGCAGGCGCGCAGCAGCCGCAGATCTCGCTGCTCGGAACGCTACCTCTGCACCTCGTCCCGGCCTTGTTGCGGCGGATCGAGACGCTCGTGACGCTGGCGCCGGAGGTGCTGTGCGAAAAGGAGACCGTGCTGGCGCGCCACGACGACGAGGCCTCCGCCGTACGCGAGACGGGCGACAATGCGTGGGCGAGCGTAGTCAAGGCGCGGCGTGGCGTCAAGCTTCGTGTTCGCGAAACCGCACGCTCCAACGGCCACACCGAGTGCACGCTCTGCCTCCCACTGCCCAGTCTGCCGGAGCGCCAGTATCCCCGTGCTTCGGTGCGGCCGAGCTACACCGTCGAGGTGCTTTCCGACACGTCTGGCGCGGCTCAATGCAAAGCGGGCGATCCACTGGCAGATGGTGTGCTGAACTTTGATCCCGAAAGCTTGGACACGGACACAGCGAATGGCTGGAAGAGTCTCGTGTCGGCACTTGGATGGAGACCGCACTTTGCGCTGCTGCGCTATGGCCTTGCGTACACGCTCAACGCCTCGCTCTTCCGCCACTCGTCCACCGCCACACCGAACCCACTCAACCCATCCCAGCACACGCGCTACACTCTCAACGTTTATCGCATCTTCACACCCGATCCGTCCGGATACACTGCCGACTGGACACCGCTCGACCCACAGGCGGCCACGGTGGTGGTTGAGCTCATCGCCACCGTCGGCGCCCAGCTCGACCAGAGCCACTTCAACCACCACTGCGTCCTCCCGGACCCCGCTGCCACCCCAACGGCAACGGGCGGACTCGATCCCGACTCCACCATCGAGTCCGCCATCGAGTTCGCAGACCACGTCGCAAAACATCTCCGCGGCCTCGTTGACCTTCGCCGAGAAGCATTCGACTGAAAGGCAACC